AATTAAATAAACAGATAATATATATCTCTGCGGGAAAGAAAGTTTTAATTTGTTAAGGAAACTGGCTGACTGTATTAAAGAGATAAGCAGAAAAAGAAGGGAAACATGAAATTCTGAGTAGATCATGTGATTACAGAAATATGGAGTGCTGAAAGGGACTAAAGTGTTATGGGCATGGAAAAAAGAAAAGCCTCTCTTATTTTTTACTCCCCTTTTATGGATTACAAATTTGAAATAAAAATGGTTATTACTAAAGGGAGTGGAAGTTATAGAAGGGAGGAGAGATTTATTGGACCACTCCTAAAAATATATTTGTTTATGACAGATACAGTCATAGAAGAGGATACTATTTCATTGACCAATAAAGATTATATATGTATAAAATGGAGATATATTGAAGTACCCACAATGAAAGATAAAATAACAAGAACTTTTGCAGAATATTGAACCTTTAATGGACTTTTTGCTGAAAATGGAAAGAGCTAAAATGATGGTTTTTACTTTGGATGACTGAAAAAGTGTTGAATAAGGGGGTGAAGGGATTATGGTTATGTTTAAGAGGGAGGAGGGATAATAATTTTGATTGTAACTGCTATAATGAAGGTTGGAAGTCACTTATCTTTTTTTCTTTCTTTTCCTGCGTTTTCCTGTATTGTTTCCTGTACTTTTTCTTTTTTTATTCTTCTTTCCTTCTTTTATATATTTCTTATTTTTCTTTTATTCAAGTAAAAATTCTCAATAAAAATTATTAATAAAAAAGAAAGAAGTCAAGGACCACAGTGAAAAACTGGGACTAAGTTTAAACATAAAGAATACCAGACTAATGGCAACAGATACAGCAACCAGCCTTGGAACTGAGAATGAATATACTGAAGTGGTGGATAGTTTCTGGTTTTTAGGACTATCAACAATAAAAGAACCAGCAGTCAAAAACACTCCGAGACTAGCACTTGCTAAAACAGCAATTAAGATCTTTTTGAAGCTGGACTTTGAAGAAACAGGATAGAAAGAGCTTTGACACTTTTGAACACTGATGTTGAAGAAGACTTCTAAAAATATCAAGGATAATGAAGAAAACAAACAAATGGATCATAATTATATTATGTGCACCTGTACAAAATGGCTTCCATAATGGGCATGGCAAATCACAAAATACCCATTTGTGAGAAGACAAACTGAGAGATTGTCTTTTCTGGGTAATTTATTTCTCTGAGCTATTTAAATCTGCCTTTTGTCCTGATTTTGAAATGGGGGTGGCTTTGGTTTCCCAGAAGCATTTGACACAGTGTGGCAACTCTTCTATGTGCCTAGTTGTAACGTGGAAGGCAGTGATGAAATGTCCAAATGCCTCTTAGCCCAAATGGGTCAAAAGATGGGTGGCAGCAATTCAGTGATCTATCTGGAAGTATGAAAAATCCAGAAAAACGATCAAGACAAATACCATTAGTATAGAATATCCTACTAATAGGAATGGCAGAAGGAATGGCAGTAAAAATTCTGTTAAATAAGTGTTTTGTAGTCATTTCTGAATTGGCACATCCCTTCCAGTAGCCACTCTGTGAAACCACATATCACTGGCCTCTTGTCCAGACTTTTGAATCCAGATGTTATATTTTAATTAATTAGGAATGTAGGTTTGCACAGCTGCTGTGAAACACATTATTCCCTTCAAAGTAATAGATACATTATAAGTAATATAAATAAAGCAAGAAAGCATCACAATGACCAAAGGACAGTCTAGCAAATCTCTGATACAACTCTGGGCTAATTAACATGTGAAAAATTCTTAAAATTTTGGAGTAAAATTCAGGACAATGGGCAAGGTACAAAAACTGCTGCTCTCTAATAAGGCTAAACTCAAAGGAGTATATAAAATAACTTGACAATGTGTGGACAATCACACTGGGTAAACTTTATACTTCAGAGAATGCACAAAAATGTATACTAGTCAGCTTTCACTGAACATGAGTTATAGGGGACAAATTATAAAAGAGACTGAAAATGCCAACATCCTGGTGCAATGTAACAGATATTTTCCTACAATTATTAAAAGCATTAGAAATCTGAAACTTCCATATAATTGAACAGGGAGAAACACTATTTGTACAGTGCTCAGGGGCTGTTTCTGGGCACTGTTGAATATGGTAATATATAATGACATGATGTTTGTACACAGTTCAGTTTCAAATTAGCTCTGAAGAAGCTTGCAGTATGGCCAGAAAAATGTCAGTGAACATTTACTGGCTCATGTAGCATTTACCCGAAGTCATTTCATCAATAATAATGTTCTTGTATATATATAAAAATCAATATTTGGAGACTGTGATCAAAGTTAGATCCTGACAATATAAAAATGATGCTGATGGGAAATGACAATGGTCCAAAAGGACATGACTTTCTGGAAACAAATGGGTTCATATTTCCACATCTAATTGTGTTAAAGTGCTATAGGCTACTGGATATAAGTTTATTTCTTAAGGAGACACTTGCTAAATATGAAGTTATCATGTGGTTTTGAGTAAGACTGATCCATACCTCTGTAATTTTCACACTTCACTGCTCTAATGTGCTATGTATGAGCTGCCGCTGAAGATGATAACATTGAAGGTGACATATCAGCTCGTGCAGAATGTATTAAGTGCAGATAGTATTTTATAGTTCAGTGCTTTAATACAAACCCCCAAACATGATTCCTCAAACATCTAGGATTTCATGTAACCTACTCCAATATAGATTAGAGAACCATCAGTCTACATTATTCAGATTCCCATGATGATTCAGTTTTTAAAAAATATGAATAAAAGGATAACTGCACCATATCCATTCCAACAGGAGTATGTGCTTAATCACAGATCCTTCCTCAAACAGAATGAACTGTTCCATTCATCCATTCACATTCTATGGGTGTTTTCTTCTCAAAGGGCATTTTATATTGCTTCTAATGTTACACAGTATCACTGCTTTTATCTACTAAACAGATAAAATATTCTTTTAGAATAGCTACAGAATTACTATTTAATATTCCATGAACAATAAGTTCTCATCAGTAAGGTTTAATCTCATTCCAACATAATAAATATATTAAATGCACACTACCCACAAATCTTAACAATCAAAATTTATAACTCACAAGAGAGGTACAGGTAGCCCTCGCTTAATGACCACAATAGGCCTGGAAAATTGATTAAGTGGGGCAGTCATTAAGTGAGTCACCATATGACAGGACCCAATTTTACGACCATTTTTACAATGGTTGTTAAACAAATCACATGGTCATTAAGTGAATCCAGCTTCCCCAATGGACTTTTTTTGCTGGAATTTACTTAACAACCACATGATTCACTTAACAACCACAGTGATTAGCTTAATGACCATCATAAAAAAGATCACAAATCACAATCACATGACCGCGGGGGTGTGTGTGTGATGGTCATAAGTGTGAGTACAGCTTGTAAAGCACTTTTTCCAAGGCCATCATAACTTTGGACGGTCATTAAACGAATGGTTGTTAAGGGAGAACTACCTGTAATTGCATTTGTCATTTCTTAGAAAGTAGTCCTTTAAAAAATTGAAATGAACACCTTCCTATAAATGTATCACTAGGTAGACAGAGTCAAAACTATTGGCCAATATACATTATCAGACTGTGTCAATAAAATTGACAATGCCAACTATGCCTTTAATAAAAAGTGAAAGATTTATACAATCTGAAAAGAATCCAGACTACCAAAAAAGAACAAGCAGATTCCACTGAAACTACTTTCAGAGATGGACAATATTAAAGCAAATATATAAATGGTACCACAGCGAGGCAAAAGTGGCCAAATGTCAGTTCAGATAATCCATCATCTTCATCATTTTCTATACCTAAGCCTTTCTCCAACTTCCAAATGTATTCCTTCTGACGATTGTCAGCTGGAACATAGATTTTGGAAGAAGCTTCTCAAGGGCATTTATGGGCAAGCTCTTTACATCCCCCCCTTCTTTGTTAAAACTATTTAGCATATTGCTCCTGTGGTTCAGGTGCCAAAATGATTTCTGTAAAGCTCTGTATGCGCCAGTGAGGAGGTACTAGGTCACATTACTGGCGAAGAGCCACACAAGTACCTCATAAATCACAGAGTATTTGCTGGAGGACAGAGGTAGAGAAGGAATTGTAAATGGATTGGAGTTGAAGGGGAAAAGAGCTGGAAAAAAGGATTTTGTTATGTTAAATATTAGCTTCCCATATTATACCTACTTTTGCACACTGCCTATATGAAATCCTATCTCATGCCATCTTTCTCCAAACAGCTGATAGCAGAACATTGTATTCTGCAGTTTCTCAAAAATTGATGGTAGATTTTCCTTCCTTAAATCAACTTCTTCAAAACCAAGCCCAGTCATTTCTCATCACTACTATAATGCCTAGTTCTATTTCTTGTTACATTTCAGATACGTTAATGTTATGCAATAGTGCAGCATAGGCTGCAAAAAGTACTATTTTTATTTATTTATATTTCAAGTTTGTCACCGCCCATCTTACTGCGGAGTGACTCTGGGCAGTTTACTATTTTACAAGTAATTATTACAGTATTATGATAAAGTTTAGCAGCAGGGTCTGCCATCTGGCATGATGTATACCTTAAGTTGGAAGGCTGAATTCAAAATAAATATCCAAACATTTTGGACATCATTCTGGAAGCAATGCCACAGATAGACCAATCCATTTATGGAGTCTGACACAAGCAGAAACTAATTCTATGACAGTTTTTGGATAGTCTAAGAGTTCCTATAATAATATTAAAACAATCCACAAGAAGATACTGAAGAATTCTCTCTCTGTTATAGAAAAGGAATAACTATGTATAGGAATGAATCACTGGTGTATCTTTCTAGGCAATTAGAAAGTTCAATAATATCAGTTAAGCAGTGTTCGTTTTCTTGACCTTGGCAGAACAGCTAATCTTGAGAGAGAAACACACAAGTCTGTACATATGTGATTAATTTATATGCCGTACCTTTTCAACTGGCAGAAAATCATTATCTACTTCTATTGACCTTGGACGTAGTTTTATGGGTTTGTCCTTGAAAATGTCACCAAATCCAATCCCCTTAATTTTCTTGGGCTGGATTGTTGCTGCTCCATTGGCTCCTTCTGATTTTGTGCTACTTGAGTCACCACCATCACTTTCTGAGCCTGTAGTATCCCTTAAACCTGGCAGAGGGAAGAAAGAAAAAGAAACCTGGCTCTTAAGATTATTTTTATAACAGCGCAATCAGCGAAATTAAAAAAATCCCGCATGCACCAGATTAATAGTATAATATTCTCTTATACCCACATTTAATTTAAAATGTTGTTCCAACAAAACTGACAGCAACCGCAATCAGCACCAGATTAAATATGCCTATGGAGAACATATGAGAAAAAGATATGCACACACATACAAGGGGAGGTAGAAGAGAAAGAATCTAATTTATATCCCTCAGATACTTTACAGTGTGGAATAGTAAGATTCTAGGTCTTTCACAGGATAGTAGGAGGTGGGCACAAACTGACTAGGATATTCCATAATTGTGATCTCACAACAAAAGGCCCTGTTCTTGGTGGCTGCACCTCAAAAGTGTGGGCACTCCAAAAGCATGGGCGTCTACAGGAGGCAGGAGGGCTTCAGTTAACATCTCAATATATGAATAAATTCACAAGTAGCCTTCATATGGTTAAAAGATAAACAATTAACCAACATAAACAGAAGTGAAGTTTTTCATACTATCAGAATTACAGTATCTTGTTCACATGTCATACTAGTTCTAGAAAATCCACAAAAAAGGCATTCATTTTTGAATAACCGTGCAATGAAAAGATGGATTTTTCATACATATATACATATACATATATACATACACGTACGTATGAAATGCTAAATCAGCTATGATTCTATCTAAAATATAGTTGAGCTAATCCACATATTGGATCTTTTAGCTGCATAATTCACAACAAACATACAATCAATGTGATAAATTATTTAAGAGAGATAGAAACATAAAATAGAAGTTAATCAAAAATGCAATCAAATTGACTGTATAACATTATCTTTGCCAACATATTGAATCAAATGTCTATCTGAGGCAGTCTTGTTGAAAAGCATATCCACATCCCTGCGCAGGAATAAAATATATCAAGCAGACAACCTGATTACTTTTACTAGCCTTGGTGAAAAAGACTATTCCATTTCTATTAACACAGAAGGTAAACTTGTTTTTCTTACAAAACACTGACCAATTTCACAAGAATAGATACCTTATTGTGATAGCTGCATAATTCTCTGAGCAAATACACTCAATATTTACATGATCTTGTCATAAGCATGGATTGGAAAACATAAAAAAATAAAGGAAATTTTTAATTTGTATAACAGTTTGAACCTCTGCTGTTCCTACTGTCCAAAAGTATTCAGGTCAAAACATCAAACCTGAATAAATTTGGAACACAAATGACAGTTTATTGAAGAACTTTTTTCAAGATCAAGGACATGGTTATGCATAGATTTTAAGCCATAGATAAGCAGAAATAATAATTTGATCTATGACTTCAGATAAGGGTAATGGAAATATTCAAATAGCTGTTCCAATGATAGTTATTAACAAAACATGGGTAAATTCCCTAATTTGTAGACATAAACAATATTGCCCAAAATTGCGGTATGAAACCTTTTTGAGCTTAATACATTTCAATCTCAAAATGAAGATTTTGAGTATTCGAGGCCTGAAATGAAATACATGTGTTGTTTTGGCTATAGAACATAACACTTTGAACAAAACTTGGAGTAGCATCATGAATGTTCTGGGATGGTTTCTTTAGGTGTTTTATTTTCTTTTTTTAATATTCTAGTTTATTCCCCTTGCCAATTTTTCTGTAGGTTGGATGACAGTTAGCAGTCAGCATGGGCTACTTCTCTACTTGCTCTTGTGGTCCTTCAATTAAATACAAGAGAGAAAGAGATTTGTTCTGTGTTCCAGCTGCATTAGAGTTTGGGAAAGAAGAAATCTCAGGTTGAAAGCAATACTTTGTCCACCACTGTGGAAGAAAATGCAAAGATGTTTTAGTCTCTGGGGTTGTGCAATAATAAATGTGCACTGGCTACAAGATACTGAGAGCCAGTTTGGTGTAGTGGTTAAGACATCAGGCTAGAAACTGGGATTTGTCCAGCCATGTATGTATTCGTAACTTGAGAGGCAGTCTGGTGTAGCAGTTGAGGCACTGGACTAGAAACTGGGAGACTGTGAGTTCTATTCACACCTTAGGCATGAAGGCAGCTGGGTGACCTTGGGCCAGTCACTCTCTCTCAGACCTAGGAAGGAGGCAATGGCAAACCACTTCTGAAATCTAGCTAAGAAAACTGCAGGGACTTGTCCAGGCAGTCACCAGGAGTCAACACTGATTCGAAGGAAAAGAAAAGAAAAGAAAAGAAAAGAAAAGAAAAGAAAAGAAAAGGACTGCCTGTTCATCCCCTTCTCCTGGGAGAAATGATACATGGG